CGGAGGGCGTGGATAGTGTATCCAAGCACTCATCCGAAAATACTATATTTGGGCCTAACAGTAGTAGTGCTGTAGACTGGATTGGAGAATGTTTTGACGGTGTCAGGGAAGCAGATGGGTTGGATTTTACCTGTGCCTCTGATGATGTTTTTTCAGAACGAGATAGTTTGGACTATCAAGTGGCTGATAGTAGTTTTATTGAAAGTATTGGAAACAGGGTGGAGAATGCAATTAAAGATATCGTTTTTGAGAAGCAAGTGGGAATGAGTAGGGTGCAGAATGCTCTCCAAGATATTGGGAACGAAATTCGTAATGAGAAGGAGGAGGTTTATGACATGTTAACGAGAGTACAAGGTTTACAAGATTTGTGTGAGGAGACACCCAGGAGAAGTGCACGTTTAGCAAAGAAACGCCTGGAGAAGGAGAACAGACCTTAAGCAGGAGGTTTAAAACAATATTGGATAGAAAGTTGAGTTGTCAACTTTGCACAGGTTTTATTGAAATCCGGCGATAATTAATGTTAACTTTTTTTAATCGTTGTACCTTTGAGAGAGGCTGAATTTAAATTTAGCTGTGATAATTGATGATCTCATAAAGAGTTTTTTTGAAAATTAATATTAGATGTGTAAGTAATATGTTGTTAAATAAAAGGTTAAACAGAATGTTGCATTTGAGAACTTTAAAATTTGTAAAAATATTTTTTTTTGAACATAAAAAAAATTGCATAAAGAGGAATAAAGATGGCGTTCGTTGTATAATCAATTTATTGAAAAATTATATTTTATAATGTACAAAAAAAAACCTTATATCTATGTTAGTGCAATAGTATAAAAAATTTTTTTTTTGATGGTGTTAATTTTAAAGTTTGAAAATTTTTTTGTAGTTTTTAAGGAATATTAGAGTATTAAATAATGAAGAATCGTTTTTTTTGTTTAATTTTCAGGTTTATCAGCCTTGGGAAAGATAAACTGTTTTTTTTCTACATAAAAAATAAGTGTTAAATTTGAAGTTTGTCCAAAGTGACAAATGAAAGTATAACAATAGGGCGATTATCATTTTATTTTCAGTTCTTATTTTATTTTAAATATTTTTTTTGAGCTTTGTGCTGTTAATTGGTAAATTAGTACTTGTAACTTAAGAACATATGACGAAGTTTTAATACAGTTAAAGTTTGTTATCAGAACAGATAATATTTATGTCAACTAAACATGTACATGTTGCAAACCCTAAAAATGTACCAAATGGTTGGAACCAATGATATTTGACAATATGCTGCCACGTTCATTGTAATTTCAATAGTTCCAATGGTAAAATTGTATTTTTGTGGATGAATTAATTGAAAGAATTGAAACTTTTGGGGTAAAAATCTGTAATTAAAGTGGGTTTTTTTTTGTTTACGTAAAAATGGGTGAAGAATGGGTTATAGTAATACTAGCATATATATATATATTACAACTTGTTTAAAACAGGCAAACTATGTACAGTATTGTATGCGATTAAGGTCCAAGTTTAAATCAACATGTACACTGACAGAAGCTGGTCAGTGAAGAGGGTGGACTGCTAGGTGATCCTGGAATAATATTATTTATTAATTTTTATGAATGTTGGAGTTCTAGTTTTGTGTAAAGACGCTGAGTATTGTTTTTTATTGGGTTTTGCATTTTTGGGTTTTACTAGTTTTACAGTAAGGATCAGAACGAGTGATACAGTTATAGATAAACCTGTTGCTAAAGAGAAATAGATTTGGTAAGTAGGGTTCAAGTAGGGTTCTATAAAGTATCTTATTAATGTTAGGTCATTTAGAGTCAGGTAACTGTCAATGATTTCGGTAAAAGTACCTGTAGGTCCGAATAAATAAGTGATATCATTGTGAATTACTTCAATTGTAAATTCCGAGCGGAGTATATATGGCAAATTATAGGGGTTGGAAGGTGCGGAAAAATTTTGTTGAACAGATTGTGTTGAAGTATCAAGTAAGGAGATTTCAGTTTCCGGAGGTATAAAGACACCATAAAATGTTAAAAATGGGTTAGAGGTTTGAGACGTTTTAATGGGACAGGCTTGTAATATAGTTTGTATTTGCCTTTCTTTAATTGCGTCTAGGCAAGGGGTTTGGAAGGTTTTTAGCATACAGGTTTTGGTTTCGTGCATATCAGTGCAAACTTGATGGTAATAAGTAGAGTTTTCATTGACGGGAGTAAATAGGTTTTCTAAATCTAAGACAATGCCTGCTAAGGGCACTGGGGTGATACTATAAAAAGTCTGGAAATCATGAGATTGCACTAGTTTTATTGTAGCGTACACTCCCTTATTGTAGAATTTTATTTTTTGTAGATAAAAGGTTTCTTTTCCTGAAGTTCTGACACATTTGTCTAGGTTTAAGTTATGAGGAATTAAATTTGGCATTTTTAGATTTTCTAAATCATTAAGTAGTGAATATTGAGTATCAAAGTAGGAAGAGAATTCGTGAACAATCCCTTTAATTGAAAGGAGAGATTCAGCTACTTTTCTAAAATTTTCGTTAGAGGGGTCGTTCTTTTCTTCCGTAGATAAAACAAAGTCCGGCGCAAATTTATTTTTTATTAGGAGAAAGCTTTCTAAGAGATCATTGAAGTGATTTTTTGATAAAATGTGTCGTGAATAAGAGCAAGGTGAAGAGGAAGGCTGAGTTTCTTTAGAGTTTAAGAGATCTTTTGTGATTGTATTAAGATGACGAATGGATCGTTTAAGGGTGGTTAAATCATTTAAGACATTAAGTAAAGAGAGTGAAGGCTCTCCTGGTTCTGTTTTGATTATTCGGGTTATGGTTTTAAAGAATTCGAAAATTTCATCCATTTCAGTGTCCGTCATGGTAAAAATAAGAAAATCTAGATAAATCCTAGTGATAGTTTTTTGGGTAGGAAGATCAATTTCAAAAGTAGGAATTAAAAAGTCGAGATCCTGGTTCAGAACGGAGGAGATCAGAATGGTTAAGGTGTTTATGAGGAGGAGTAGTTGCATTTTGTTTTCTGAGAATGGTTTATTATAAGAAGGGAGAGAAAAAAATTTTTTTTTTTTTTTTTTACCTTAAGATGTGAAAATTTCGGCAGTTTCTTTTCTTGCTCTGTTGTAATACTGGATGAGTTGTAAGGCTTGTATCCGAGAATAATTTGACAACTGCTGGTGCTGGTCAAAGGTTGGGTGAGGTTTACTGAGGACATTAGAGTACCAGTGTTGTCCGTAGCCTATTATTCCAGTGGCAGGGATAAAAAGGGTTTTGGTAAACCTTGCAATAAGTGTAGCAGCAAGATTAACTTGGTCCCATAAGTTCAAGAGTGTAGTAGCGCTGAGTTGATGGTTTCCCGAGAATGGAGGTTGCCCGAGGACTAAGAACTCTGGGTGTTTTCCTCTTTCTTGATGAACTTCTTGAGAAATTCTTGTAAGTCCGCAGAAGAAACCAAGGAGAATGTCTTTGAGGCTGGTTTTAAGCAGGTTATTCCAGGTTTCTGGTGAGTGGTACAGTAGGAATGAATGAAGATTGAGTTCCACACAGATTGGTAGATGAAGGGGAACCTTCAGACTGACCTCTTTGACATGTTGCAGGAGGTTCCTGTCCGCGGGTAAGTGATAAAGAGCTTTTCCTTCAAGGTTTACAATGCCCTGCACAGAAGTGGGCCCCAAATGGGTAAAGAAAGCTGTGGGCCAACGGTGTTGGTGTGGATAGTCTGGTGATAGATTTAGAACTGGAAAGTGAGAAGTTGGCAGTGTTCCAGCCTTGTTTAGAAGTCTGGTACCTATAACTACAGCCCTGTAATCCTTGACATCCACCTTGGTAATTCTGTCGGGTGAATGGGTCAGGTAAGATTGACCCAATAGGTGTGGTCCTGAGTAGTTATCCACACCATAGAGTAGATCATCAAGTTTAGGGGGAGTGATAGTAGCATTATTCCAGAGATCCTTGAGAAACAACCCAATGTTTATTTGGTTGATCTCATAATAAAAGTGTTTGTAATCTTGTATGGTGGTGGGGTATTTAGTTCTGTGCCGCAATGCTCGAACAATGTTTGAAACTATTCTGCTGTCTTCCTTATTTAAATATTTCGCTATCAACTCTATCATGTTGGGTACTCCAAACGGTTCTTCTTGGGTTTCAACTCTATAATTGGCAAATAATTCCGGTTGATTTAGAAACCTAGCTAAGTGTTGCATATTATGAACCTTAAGTGTATCTCTGATTAGAAGCTCAGTTCTAGTGGTAGCGATGGTATTAGGTCTTCTCTGTTCTTCAATTGCTCGAATCTGTTGACTCGTGAACAGTCCTAATACGTCTGGAGAGAGAGTGTAATGAGGTTTTGAATTGAGGAGGTGACTTAGTAAGTCCCAGACTGCAGTAAATCCTAAATCACACATTGGACAGCGAAGGGTGTTGTTATGATGTTCAAGATGGTGTGATAACAGTGTGGTCCTGCTGAAAAAGGCAAAGCAGAGATTGCAGAATACCTCGGATTTAGTGGAGTGATCTTTAGTAAAACCCACATGAATCATTAATGATAGAAAGCTAGGAAAAACTTCAGTACACTCTAAGCAGATCAGTGGGCCATGAGTCTGTTTGTTAAGAACGTCCTGAACCGAGGGGTTTTCTCCCAATAATGAGCCATGACTCATTAAGTGATAAATACTATCCCGAGGGATTTTTGAATTGTCCCTGATGTTATGTGCAAAATGGTTGCAAAATTTACACATCAGAACACCGTTAGGGTGTGTTGTAGCCAAGGATAGGATAGCTAACGCATCCTTTTTTTCGCTGTTTAGCATTCCTAGTTTATGAGTACATGCCCAACCGCCAAGGCGTCTATGATTTTCTAGAGATGTATTGGTTGGTTTCTGAAAGCAGACTTGACAGCTTCTATCTTCAATTATTCTGAGGTCCTGATCCATGTGGGATTCATCTTCTGAGCCACTTAGTTGAGGATCCTCAAAAATAACCGTTTCCTTTGGTGGTCCTAGAATGGTTTTGCATCTTTCCGTCAGAAGGCAACCTAAAGCATTGTTGTATGCTGATGGATTAATAAATGCTTCCTTGATATTGTTTGGAGACGCTGGTTCGGTTTGTGTTTCTGTGGTAGTGTACGGAGCTTCAGTAGCTTGAAGTTGAGGTTGTGAGGCATCAGGAGTACGATTCGGTAAAGGTTTGGATACTTTCGCTGGAGCAGTTGATTCAGCTTCTTCCAAGGTTCTTTTAACAACATACTTATTCACTCTGTGTTCTGGCAATCTTTTTATCGTAAATACAGGAACTTTTCTTCCATTTATTTGTACTGAAACAGTTGGTCTATTATGATGGGTGTGTGTTTGAGATGTTGAACTGCTACAAAGGTTTTGGGTATTCTTTGTAAGGTCAGGTTGGTTGTTTGTAGGCAAAGGGGGAGGTTTGGTTTGACATTGTTCAATATTAGGTTCCTCCATGTTGGCAATCACAAGTGTCTACAACATAGAAAGTTATTCATGCACATAAATAAATGAGCTTCCCCACTGATGATGGGTTTATAGAAGAAAATTTATATGAGTTCTGAGTGCACACCAATTCGTTGTTTACATAATCCAAGTGTAAGAACAGGGGTTGCCTGATATGAATATCAGGTTCAGTAATGCATTTGACAAAAAAGTTTTTGTGCAAATAATTTTGCAAATGTAATGAATCAAACGATCTATTAATTACTACGTCGACCATCCAATTTTCATCCAATTCCAATAAAAGGTACATACAGCTGTATGTAATAACCGTTTTTGGGAATAAAATTTTAAAAGGAAAACTGTCATAGTTATAAGGGGGCAATTTTAAATAGGTTGTAATCTTAGATAAGATATGAGGAACTGATGGAGCATAAAGATACAATGCCCTTTTATTATGAGCCGTTTCATTATGTAGATCACAGCATATGTAATGAATGTACAGGCGAGTAATTAGGCGTTTTGGGATACATAAATTGAGGATAAATTGGGTGGTTGTCATTGATAAGTGATTAGACCACTTGGGAATATTCTTATGTACTTCAATCATAGCAAAAGTTTGCAAGGATAGATTGTTGGAGTTTTTCATCATCTCTATTGAAAGGTCATTTGTGCAGCAGTTTTGAAAAGAAGACTGATGTTTTGGTGAGGATAGAGGAAAAAGGTTCGACATTTGGAAGCATGGCATTATGCTTTGAGGTCAAAGGATACCTTTTTGGACTCTTCTAAGTCAGAATCCGATTCTGACTCTAGAATTTCTTTTCGTTTGGCCGCTCTGGTTTTGATGGTGAAAGGGGTACCACCCGCTTTGATTTTCTTAGGTTTAGTATCTTCCGCAGATTGTTCTTTAGAATGCTTAGGCTGGTCAATGTTCTCTTGTTTTGACTCCAGGTTTTCGGCAGTTTCAACTGAATTAATAATTTCATTATGATTATCATTAGTATTTGTTTCAGAATAAGTAAGGTCAGGGGGATACTGAGAGTTATCATTAGTTGGTTCATCATCTAATTGGTTTTCAGCTAGTAATTCATAATCTAAGATATTCCCATTGGGATGGTCTAAGGATCCCAATTCTCTGAGTTTTTCAAATTGTAATTTATCTAATTTATCAAAGGTGTGAACTAAAATTTCTCTGACTGGGATTGGAAGGTCGGAAAATTCGGCATTCAAAGGGGAATACTTTTTTACAGCGTTCATATTGTATACTGACTGGAATCCGTCAGATAAACGTTGTAATAGTAGAGTTGTATGTTTAACTTGCAAAACTACATATGGGTCATTACTATAGTAACTCCTCAGGGGCCGAGCAGCGCCCAAAGTGATTTTAGTATCCTTTAAGAAGACATAATCCCCTTTTTGAAAGTTATGGGAAACTTTATGTTTATCAAATTTTTCTTGTGAAGCAATTTTGTGCTCATAGAGTAAATCTTTGACAAATTTGAGGATTGCCTCTTTTTCTCGGAATTTCTGTTCTACAAATGTTTTATGATTTTCCAGTAGAGGGTACAACTTAGCTGGGAGGGGGTTAGCTAGGATTGATTCATTATGAACTGAATTAATTCCATGTAACATGGTTAATGGAGAGTAATTAGTCTTGACACAGACTGATGCATTATACTGTTTTAAGACAATGGGTAGTACTGTATTCCAGCTATAAGAGTCAAAAGTGGTTAAGGTCTTTTTCAACAGTTTTTTGACAATTCCTACTGATCTCTCAGCAATTGGGTTTGAAGTGGGAGATAAAGAAGCAATTTGGATCTTTTTAATACCTAGAATTTGCAGTGTAGCTAGAAAATGTTTGTCACTAAAACATGGCGCATTGTCACTTACAAAAAATTTAATATTAAAATATTGAAAAATGTCATAAATAATATGAAACAGAATTTTTTCAGAAGTTTTAGATTTAAGCGGATATACTCGTATGAAGCCAGATAAGGCACACACAATAATTAAAAGATGCTGAAAACCTGCATTGGGGTTTAGGTTTTCAGCTAAATCTGCAAAAACTGTTGTAAATACATTTTGCGGCAAAGGATAACTTCCGGATTTATGTTTTTTATTATTCATATTATTAAGAGCACAAGGGTGACAGCGGGCTGCCAAATTTTTTATTTTATCAGTTTTTTGCGGAAAGTAATAGGAAAACATAAGAGCTGACATTTTTGCAAGTCCGGCATGAGCATAAGCTAAATGATAATGAGCAATCATGAGACCTTCAAGGGATTTAGGAATAACAATACGTTGGACTCCATGATCATGGCAGTACAAAAGTCCATTTTTATAAACATATTGTTTATTATCACATGTAAAAGTTTGATTATCAGAATTAAGGCAATTTGTAATTATGTGATTAAATTGAAGTTTTTGTTGAACAGCAATGTTTTCAAAAGATAATCGTTTCTTTAAGGCATTAACAGGCTCCAAGAGTTTGTTCATATCCTGAACTGTTTTATTAAGAGAAAGAACAACTTTGTTAGTTGGATCCATGGAAATGACTTTAAGCAAGTGTAAGTTTTTATTCACAAAGTCCTTCCATTCAAGAATAGAAAAAGTTTTGGAAAAATCTAAATATTGGTCAAGTTCAGGTACAGCATAATTGCCAAGTGGGATACGTTTTATATCAGAAGTATCAATTGCAAAATCACGAGACAAAAAGTCTGCTATATTTAATTTAGTATTCAAAAAACGTAATTTCAAATTAGGATAGTCGCTATATAGTTTATCGCTCCATCTAGCAATTTTAGTGGAGGATTTATGAAGGGGATTAGCAAATAACAGAAACAAACTTTTAGAATCTGTTATGGCCAAAAGTTCACTGTTTCCAATCAACTTATCTAAACCATTTAAAGCTAATAGTAAAGCCATGAGTTCTAGTTCCAAGATGGGTTTTGTGATATAAGTGTCTGGGATAATTTTTGACCAAAAATGAACGATTTGAAATTTTTCTAATTGTTTGAGGTCAAAGTCTGAGTTTTTGTCAATGAAGTATGGGCGAAAAATATAAAAGTTCGATTTTTTATAAAGACCTAAAATAAATGGGGGTTTTTCTACATGTGGGTTAAATTTAAGAATAGGGTTATGGGCATGAATGTCTAAAGATGAGATAACTATTATGGTTCTAAAAATAGACATTGCTAGGGCTGCAAGAAGTTCAAAATTGTCATCGAGAGGACCCTGGTGAAAAAGAAAGTTATTCGTAAAAAGTTTATAGTTTTCTAAATTGTTATTAAATTGGTTTTGTAAGATTTTTTGTTTAATAATTAAACTGTCGGCTGCTCTTTGAATCGTAATTTTTCTTAAGTGCGCGATTGTAAAAAAAGAACATTGATAAATATATTGAATAGATCTAATGGAAATAAAGAGAGAATCTTTTACGGTATCTGCCGAGTATCCTAGGTATGGGCATTGAAGATATGACAAGTCAGGGATGGGATTTAATTTGCTGTTTTTCTTTAATTTGGACTTAGGAATAAAAGTGTCATGCAGATAAAGATCACAAGGTTGAAAACATAGTCGTTTATCATAGAGTATTGCGTGAACGGGATCGTTTAAAGATAAATATGGAGGGACTACTAGTTTATCTGGAGTGAGGGTAGATACTTGGCCTAAAACTGCCGAAAAACATGCGCCTTTGGATGCACTCGCATCAGTAAACAAAATTTTTGGCAATTTCGGGTTTACAATGTTCGAAAAAAGTGGAGTGGTAGTTAATAATGTTTTCATTTCTGCAAAAGCTTCATGATGCACGGGTTTGGGGTCATATTTTACGTTCGATCCGGTTAAAGGGAGCAAAACTTTCAAGGGTTTCATAAGAGTAAAGGGAGAGACTATTTTTATGGTATTTAGTAAGGCACAAAAAGATCGCATGGCCTTTTGATTAATTGGAAAAGGTGCATTTAGTAATTTATCGACACGTTGCTTATCAGGTTCAATGACATTATTAGAAATAATCCATCCTAGATATTTAATTTTTGATTGGGCAAAAACACTTTTTTGAAAACCGATTTTGGCTTTGTGTAAGGCTAAACGTTGTATGACTTTTTCAACTAATTGAAAATGTTTAGTTAAAGTTAATGCAAAGGTTGCTTCTAAAGGAGAATAAACTAGGAGGTCATCAAAAAATAAAGTTGTTTGTGGAATTGGATCCCATTCAAGTTTCATTTGATTTGGATTAACGAAAATAGGTTGATTATCTGGACCTAGTACTGGAGCATAATGGAGCATTTTTAGCGCTATTTCTTGAAAAATTGCTGGCATGGAGGAAAGTCCCATGGGGCACTTTTTAAAAACATATTTGCCCAAAGGGCACGCAAAAGTTGTGATATGTTGGCTTTCTTTTGTAACTGAAAGGCTGTAATATGCTGAGGAAAGGTCGAATAGCGTAAATAAAGCCTGATTATGTAAAGTATGTAAAGTAGGGATGATATCCGGGATTAAGGGTACAGGTGTGCTAATAACTTTGTTTACAATTCTATAATCGATAACCATTCGATAACTTTGCGATTTGTCCTTTTTCCCAACAAGATAGCAGGGGCTAGCTATTAGGTCATGACCTCGGTCATCTGGCGGAACGCGTTCAATTATTTGATATTTTTCTAGAAATTCTAAAATAGAACGCATATGTTCTCTTTCCTCTTGAGCTAAATAATAAACTTTTCGAAATTTTGGCAAACTTTCACCAGGTTTCAGTTGTATATGATATAGCCCTAAACTTTGAGAGAGAGATCCTATATCATAAGCATGCAAGCTAACTACTGAAGGATATTTGTCGATAAAAATATGTTTTATATAAGGCTGATGTGTTTTTGCAAAGTTTTCCAAGCAGACAATATCATGGATTGTTGTATTAAGATCGGGTTGACCGTAACCTTGAGGGTCCGTGATCGTGTCTGGAATGTGATCAAGTTCCCCATATGAATTAAAATCAGACTGTGGTGGAGCAGTGTTAAAGGTCATATTCTGTAATTTGTTTTCAAAGGTTTTGATTTCAACAGGGTTTAAAGAGGCCTGCTCATTTTGCAGTTTTTTCAAAGTATGATTTGGTTCAGCCGTCTTTTGGTTAGGATTTGATTTATAAGAGGAACTGAATTTGGATTCGTAAGGTGTTAAAATTAAAAATGACGTTAGCGGTATAATAGGCTGACCGGCATCCGGTAATGGTTCTAACAATTTTATTTGATTCATTGGGCGGTCAGGAAGGTGGTTTTCAAAATTTAGAACCTCATGAATTATAGTGTTGGTCTTAGGAAGATTCGAGATTTTATTTGGGTCAATAAGAATGTCTGAATCATTTAAAGATTCAATCTTCCCCCTTAATTTTCCAATAAAGTGTTTATTTCTAAGATTTATAACTTGGGCGGCCAAGGGTTGATTATTTAAAGCATAGGCCGAACAACGAGTGGGAAAAATATGAATTCCTGCTAAATTCGATTCAGAAACTAAAAATGTTTGCCCTTTACGCACATTAGCGGTTTCGTGAGGTTGGAAAGTGATAATTTTTGATTGGTTAGGTTCAAGGTCAATGTTAGCAAAACAAGTCTGAGACTCACTAGGATGAATAAATTTAACGCGTAAATGTTTAAGAACAGGGTGGTTAATAGTTACAGTTGGGTTCCCAGGTTTATTTAGAGCCGGGAATTTTAATTCCATGCCGAGAATCTGCATCAAATCTTGACCTAGAAGAATCGGAAATGCAGATTGATGGGAAAATACACTAAATTCTAAAAAGGTGGGCTCAGTTTGAGATAAAGAGAATTTACAAGGGATTGCGATATTATAATCTAACTTGATGGAATGATTACTAAAAGATTCCACGGAAATGAGACAAGGTTTTTTATATTTTTCGATTTCATCTTTAGTGAGTAGCTGTTTAATTAAGTTTTTATTAATGAGACTGATATCAGACCCAGAATCAAGCATAAAATATAAAGGAATATTGTTGGACTGTGACAGGGAGATAAAGAATTTACAAAAAACCTTTTTTCCCAAAATCTTGTTTTCAGCAAATTCATTGCAATCAACTATACAAAGGTCGGGTCTCTTTTCACGGGAGGCAATTGCACGCAAAATGGATAAAGCATTAACTGATGCAGAATGACATTGTTCTGGAAAAGTTGTGGATAAATCGGACAGTTTTAAATTATCTAGAAAGCTTAGGTTTTCATTTTTATTTTTTATGGGTTTCGGAAGTTTTTTACCCAATGGCGTCAAATTACTGCCCGTGGCTGGAGACCCATTTGCTAGTCATTGTCTTTGGTAATTTTTTCTTGTCATAGCAGGTTTATTCTTTATAAAACAATACTTTTTGGGGTGAAAAAGTCGTTTGCCATTTTGAGTTAAACATGTTGGGCAAGGTTCTTGTGAAGGGGTCACGTTAGCAACATTTTTTCCTTGGGCATCGCGTAGTTGATAGCATTGCATGGCTGCTGTGTGTCCGGTTTTGCCACATAAGAGGCACGACAGATTTTTATTCATAAAATTATTTGTGTATGCGCGGTTGGCATTCATGTTATTCACTGTATATGCAGGCCTTTGATTTTTTACAGTGTGATTAGCAGAATTAGGGTTATAAAAGTAAGTCCTGTTATTATTACTACGAGGTTTAAACAAAGTCTGGTTATATTTTTGGAAGCTGGGCCTATTCGTTTCACGAGCTTGAGTAGAAAAAGTGCTGATCTTATATCTTGGGAACCTTAGGGATGCGTCCCTTGGCGCAAATGCACCATTAAGCTTTATATCTTCGTCAATAGACATTCTTAAACTTTCAAGAGAAGAGACTAATTCAATATATGTCGGCGGTCTGCTGAGTTCCTGCATTAAAATTCTATAGGCTTTGTTTACTTCTGACTTTGATTTCATAGGCAATGCACGAGGCAGAGCCTGTATCGCCTCAAAGTCAGAGATTAATTTCTTTTCGCTTTCTGATATGCAAAGTTTTGCGATTATGGATGCTTTATCCAAAATGTAAGCTTGAGCAATCGCTAAATTTTCTGAGCGCTTAACCCTATAATCGAGTAAAAGTTGTTTTGCGGTTTCGGGGGGGACTGTGCAATCATACATGACCATTAATTTAAAATAAATAGCTTCTGGAGTTGCTTTTTCTTCAACTAACGCTCTTACAAAACTGTGAGCTTCTTTGGTACATGAATTAGTAAGTAATTCCAAAAATTCTGATTCGGATAGCTTGCATTTAGATTGGGCGAGATTAATTGCATGCAAAAATTCAATTATCTCGGGACCCTGATTAGGATTTCCCGAAAATTTATCCCGTCCTTTAGGAAAAAGTCGTATTGCATCAGCACTTTTTGTTGCATTACATAAGACTTCTACTGGAGAAAAATAAGTGGGGATTTTAACTGTTGGTGCGATTTTATGATAGTTAAGCCTATTGTGAAGAATACTTTGTTTTATGTTAGCCGATTCAGAGTTCAATTTCATTTTTTCTGTTGCCAGGTTTTCCTTAAAGGCCTGAATAAGGGTGGGCATACTAATAATTTCTGACTCTTTGCATTTACTCAAAGCTTTATTGGTCTTATTCGCTATTTCTAGCAATATTTTGCCTAGGGCATTAGAGTTAACGTCATTATATTCTTTAATAAAATCTTCCTTATTTTTTGTAATAGTAATGCGGTCATTATTGTCTAAGATAAGGTTAATACTTTGATCATCAAACTCATTAGAGTCCCCATTCTCATCAATTATATTATTAATATCTTCCACTGATTGGTTCCTGCTATTATTTCTGGAAATTGATTTAAACATAGTGATCTTATTGTTGCCTAATAAATTCTTAAAGTTTGAGCGTGAATATTAATAACAAGATATTCAAAGTATATTAGTTAAAGTAGTAAGATTGAATTTATTTATTGCAACCTTTAAAGTCTGAATTAGATTCTTAGGATACCAAGTCGTATAAAAGGTGATTAGAAGAAAGATCAGAAAGATACAACAACTAAATTTCATGCACATCAATTTTTATAAAGATTGTTGCTAGAATTTGTGTTGTGCAAACAACGCGGACGGCCAAGGACACGTCTTAAACAAGTTTCAAAAAATTAAGGACAATTTATGAAAAGTTCAAGGTCGTAGATGCACCACTTATGTAAGTGATAGCTATATTTTTATAAAGAAGTAACTCTATAAAACTATGATAAAAAGGTAAACCTTTTCTCTAATATATCTCTTTCAATATATTTCTAAGCTCGCAAATGA